TTGAAATCATGCAACTTCACTGTAAGTTGCCCAATTTCCAAATCGGAGTAGATGTGACTGTGGTGTTAGCCCCCGGTCACATCGGGTGCAATTTGGCATGCGATTTGCAAGTCGCAGGGCATGTAAAACACATGCCAAGTCGCCTCCAGGGTGCACGATTTCAGGTGCGATTTGGGAATGGAAATTGTACCTGATATTGGATCTAATGAATGTGGATGTGAGTGTCTTAACGTAAGCGATTTGCTGGAGCACAATTTCAAAAGTAGTTTTTGTCTAACTTTTTCTGCATTTTGTAGTGATTTCATATATAGACTACAATAGAAATCGCAATACAAAACACAATTGAAAATGCAATAACTCATTGGTAAATCTACAGAAAACACAGTGAAATTGCCAACAAAAAGCACAATTTTAAATCGCATCTAGTGTGAACCAACAGGCAATCCAACAAAGGAAATACATCTTTGAAGGCATGCGGTATCTGCATGCTCGGATAAGGGTCTGTTATGGATTTAAATGTGGACTCCATGCCATTATTTTATTAATTTTTTTTTTTTTAATCCTTTTCTCTCTCTCTCTCCCTTAGCTCTTGGCTTGAGAAATCCTTCCCAAAAGGGGGCGGAGTGCAATCTATCATTATCAAATCAGTCATTAGTCCAGGCCCTTTTCTCATCCCATCATTTTACATTCACATAAGGTGCAGCTTTGAAGGTGTTTGAACAGACAAGGCCTCATTCTAATTCACATTCTAGGGATCATTTAGACAGAAAGCAAAGATGCTGCCACCAGCACATCTATGTTAGGGTAGCCACCCAGGGAGATCATGCAAATTAATTGCCGTGGTTGGGATTCAAACCTACAACCCTAGCGCTGTGAGGCATTAGTGCTAACCATTAATCCACAGAGCTGTTGAACACTAATCCCGCCTTTATTTCTGTGGTGTGAATCAACCCTAAGTCCCTGGGCAAGGTCAGTGTAACTAGACAGATATCTCAAATGTGACACAAATGTTGCCAATTCAGATGTATGTTGGTTCTATGTATCCCAATACAAAGGATTGCAATACTAATACAGGCGTAGCACGGTTTACCAACGCCTCGGTTAACGTAATTTTCGGTTTACGAATGAAAATCTATTGAAAATAATGCCTCAGTTTACACAATTGTTAATAATTTTTTTTCGCAATACAAAGTGTAGATTCGCGCTGATTTTTTAAATGCAAATGCCAGCCTTTTTTTTCCTTCACTATAGTTCACAAGCTTATCTATCACTTTCCCCGAAGTTACAGAAAACTTTGTATCTTTTAATAAACTAAAAGTAAACATTGGAAAACTTTCTCTTTTAGCTGGGGAGGTGACAGCTGAATCTCTGAGCTATAGTGAAGAAAAAAAAATCGAGAATTACATTTAAAAACCAGCACCATAATAAATAAAAAAACGGCGTTGGGGTCCCCCTCCTATCCATACCAAGCTCTTCGGGTCTGGTATGGATCTTAAGGCGTAACTCCACGCCAAAATTTTAAAAAAAATAGCGTGGGGTCCCCCCCAAAATCCATACCAGACCCTTATCCGAGTATGCAGCCCGGCAGGTCAGGAAAGGGGGGGGACGAGCCCCCCTCAAAGAGTGTCCCCCGAAGTAGAGTCAACGTCAATCACAGTGTAAGGAGCCAGCGACCCGAAAAAAGAAAAAAAAAGGTTCCGCTTCCGACGCTGGCTGCTCAGCCTTCTGCTGTGAGCTTGGGTGACCGTTCTTAAATATGTAAGGGGTGGGGCGCCAGCACCTTACACCATGATTGACGTTGGATCTACTTCGGGGGACTTTCTTTTATTAAAGGACCGTGTGCTGTGTTTTTTTACACTACACTTTGGGTTTTTTTTGTGAATTAGTAGTAACGTGTACCCCATACTCATTCACGTGGGGGAGGGGGGCTTCCAGATTCTGATAAGCCCCCCACCCGCAGACCCCCACAACCACCAGCCAGGGTTGTGGGGAAGAGGCCCTTGTCCCCATCAACATGGGGACAAGGTGCTTTGGGGGGGAGCCCCCTGCCCCAAAGGACCCCCCCTATGTTGAAGGCATGTGGGCTAGTATGGTTTAGGAGTGGGGGCGCTCGTTCGTCCCTCCCTTTCCTGACCTGCCAGGCTACATGCTCAGATAAGGGTCTGGTATGGATTTTGGGGGGGACCCCACACCGGTTTTTTTTTTTTTTTTTTTTTAATTTTGGTGGAGTTACCCCTCCAGACCGGAAGGGCTTGGTATGGATGAGAGGGGAGACCCCATGCCGTTTTTTTTTTTTAGATTCAGCTGTCAAAATATATATTATCTAGACCTTCGAAATAAGTAAAATCATTACAGAAATAATTATAAAGGATAAGAAACAAAAACTGAATCAATAGAACTAAGGAAATCAAATTAGAATACATAAAGATATGCCTAGTTACAAATAGTGCTGTTTGTTAAACACAGTAAACGCAATCGAGTGCCATCTGTCATCTGAGATTTACAGTGGGGCAAAAAAGTATTTAGTCAGCCACCAATTGTGCAAGGTCTCCCACTTAAAAAGATGAGAGAGGCCTGTAATTGGCATCATAGGTAGACCTCAACTATGAGAGACAAAATGAGAAAAAAAAATCCAGACAATCACATTGGCTGATTTGGAAAGAATTCATTTGCAAATTAATGTGGAAAATAAGTATTTGGTCCATTTCAAAAGTTCATCTCAATACTTTGTTATATATCCTTTGTTGGCAATGACAGAGGTCAAACGTTTCCTGTAAGTCTTCACAAGGTTGGCACACACTATTGCTGGTATGTTGGCCCATTCCTCCATGCAAATCTCCTCTAGAGCAGTGATGTTTTGGGGCTGTCGCTGGGCAACACGGACTTTCAACTCCCTCCCAAAGGTTTTCTATGGGGTTGAGATCTGGAGACTGGCTGGGCCACTCCAGGACCTTGAAATGCTTCTTACGAAGCCACTCCTTCGTTGCCCGGGCGGTATGTTTGGGATCATTGTCATGTTGGAAGACTAAGCCACGTTTCATCTTCAATGCCCTTGATGATGGAAGGAGGTTTGCACTCAAAATCTCACGATACATGGCCCCATTCATTCTGTCCTGTACATGGATCAGTCGTCCTGGTCCCTTTGCGGAGAAACAGCCACAAAGCATGATGTTGCCACCCCCATGCTTCACAGTAGGTATGGTGTTCTTTGGATGCAACTCAGCATTCTCTCTCCTCCAAACACGACGAGTTGTGTTTCTACCAAACAGTTCTATTTTGGTTTCATCTGACCATATGACATTCTCCCAATCCTCTTCTGGATCATCTAAATGCTCTGTAGCAAACTTCAGACGGGCCTGGACATGTACTGGTTTAAGAAGGGGGACACGTCTGGCACTGCAGGATCTGAGTCCCTGGCGGCGTAGTGTGTTACTGATGGTAGCCTTTGTTACGTTGGTCCCAGCTCTCTGCAGGTCATTCACTAGGTCCCCCCGTGTGGTCCTGGGATTTTTGCTCACCGTTCTTGTAATCATTTTGACCCCACGGGGTGAGATCTTGCATGGAGCCCCAGATCGAGGGAGATTATCACTGGTCTTGTATGTCTTCCATTTTCTAATTATTGCTCCCACAGTTGATTTGTCCACACCAAGCTGCTTACCTATTGCAGATTCAGTCTTCCCAGCCTGGTGCAGGTCTACAATTTTGCTTCTGGTGTCCTTGGACAGCTCTTTGGTCTTCACCATAGTGGAGTTTGGAGTGTGACTGTTTGAGGTTGTGGACAGGTGTCTTTTATACTGATAACAAGTTCAAACAGGTGCCATTGATACAGGTAATGAGTGCAGGACAGAGGAGCCTCTTAAAGAAGAAGGTACAGGTCTGTGAGAGCCAGAAATCATGCTTGTTTGTAGGTGACCAAATACTTATTTTCCACCATAATTTGCAAATAAATTATTTTCAAATCAGCTAATGTGATTGTCTGGATTTTTTTTTCTCAATTTGTCTCTCATAGTTGAGGTCTACCTATGATGCCAATTACAGGCCTCTCTCATCTTTTTAAGTTGGAGAACTTGCACAATTGGTGGCTGACTAAATACTCTTTTGCCCCACTGTACTATTAAACAGCATCTAAAAAGAAAGCGCCCACGGCAGACGGCTAAAATGTGTTCTGCACAAGCTCATTTATATCTGTTCATAGACGCTGGAAAAGCATCTAGTTCTTTACTGTCATGACTTTCTTTAAAAAGCTGTTTTACTATGTTTTAATCTTTTTTTTAAATGTAAGATATTGTTTAAAGTGAAGTCCCAATATTTGAACATGTGAACATGTCTCTGCAGTGATTTTTCGTGGTTTTAGACGTGCTTCTTAGCAAGTCTGCTTTTTGAGACGGATTCCTGGATTGTGCCTGCTTAGTAAATTTAGTAAATGTCTTTGCCATCTAAAAGTAGAGGGTCGCTATTAAAAAGTAGACGTTAGCCCGCGGAAATGCGCCTAGGCACATTAGTAAATCAGGGCCAGTATGTCTCATTTCACTTACTAAAAGATCAGATGCATCTGTGGCTAGGGAAACACACTGGCAAGGCATATAGAGGTTATCCTGCCACAATTAGAGGCATAAAATCAAATTGGGTATTAAGTTAAAGGTAATCTTTATAAGGCCTAAATATATAAAGCAAAAAATAAAGAAAAATGGCACTAATAAGCATAAGATAGCTTGTTACAGAAATAAGCGCCTATTTAGTATGACTGGTGAGAGTCTTACCTAGAGTTTTGACTTTAGTCTTTATAGTCCTGTGACGGAAGCGCAAGCAGGACAGAACACACAAAGAAGATGGTGATTACACAAAGCTTTATTGAACTCTGAAAGACACTCAATCAGGACAGTTCATGGCACTCCGCGACAGGCGGCTTGTGGGGACACCCACGGTAAGCAGGCTCACGGGGACTCAACCGGACTCTAGCTGTGGAGTCTGGCCTAGCACGGCTCCCACCCAGCTTTCTAGGGACATCGGGCTCACGGGGACTCAATGGGACTCTAGCTGTGGAGTCTGGCCTAGCACAGCTCCCACCCAGCTTTCCAGGGACATCGGGCTCACGGGGACTCAACGGGACTCTAGCTGTGGAGTCTGGCCTAGCACAGCTCCCACCCAGCTTTCTAGGGACATCGGGCTCACGGGGACTCAACAGGTAGCGATGGCTCAAGCACTCAGGGGCATCACAGGTAGATATACTCCGGGCACGCCATGGGGCGGTTCAAGTAAGGGTAGTCTAGGCGTGTATTAGGGGCAGTTCATGACCCGGGTGGTCAGTGCGCACAACAGGGACAGTTCAGGACACAGGTGGTCGGTGCACACAACAGGGACAGTTGCGGACACGGGTGGTCGGTGTGCACAACAGGGACAGTTCAGGACACGGGTGGTCGGTGCGCACAAAAGGGACAGTTCAGGACACGGGTGGTCTGTGCACACAGCAGGGACAGTTCAGGACAGGGGTGGTCGGTGCACACAGCAGGGACAGTTCAGGACACGGGTGGTCGGTGCGCACAACAGGGACAGTTCAGGACACGGGTGGTCGGTGCGCACAACAGGGACAGTTCAGGACACGGGTGGTCGGTGCGCACAACAGGGACAGTTCAGGACACGGGGATCAATGCGCACAACAGGAACAGTTCAGGACACGGGTGGTCAGTGCGCACACCAGGGACAGTTCAGAACACGGGTCAATGCGCACAACAGGAACAGTTCCGGACGCGGCTGGTCGGTGCGCACAACAGGGACAGTTCAGGACACACGGGTGGTCGGTGCGCACAACAGGGACAGTTCAGGACACGGGTGGTCGGTGCGCACAACAGGGACAGTTCAGGACACGGGGATCAATGCGCACAACAGGAACAGTTCAGGACACGGGTGGTCAGTGCGCACACCAGGGACAGTTCAGAACACGGGTCAATGCGCACAACAGGAACAGTTCCGGACGCGGCTGGTCGGTGCGCACAACAGGGACAGTTCAGGACACGGGTCAGTGCACACAACAGGGATAGTTCAGGACAAGGGTGGTCTGTGCGCACAACAGGGACAGTTCATGGCTTCTGGGGACACTTACGATAGGAGTCTTGCAGGTGCTCAGCAGCAGGCGGCTTCCAGAGGGTGGTAGGCGACTTGCAGACGCTCAGCAGCAGGCGACTTCCAGGGGGATAGGTGACTTGCGGACACTCAGCAGCAGGCAGCTTCCAGGGACAAAGCAGTCAGCAGGCAGGACGGCTTCCCAGGGGCCCAGCGATCCACAGACAGGATGGCTTCCCAGGGACCCAACGATCAGCAGATGGGACGGTTTCCCAGGGGCCCAAAGATCAGCAGACGGGACAGCTTACCAGGGACCCTCAGCAACGGCCCTCACAGCAGCCAGCTTTTCAGGGGCCCAGTGATCAGCAGGCAGGGGCCCTCCCAGCGGCCCTCTTCTCCAGGGGCCCATCGCAGTGGCCAGGAACAGCAGCGGGAGTCATGGCTGTGGGGTCTGACCTTTGCGGAGGGGGGATCATGCAAAGCGTTCAGCGGGGATGGATGCGGGGGATCCCACCCTGGGACATTCAGCGGAGGGCAGCGGGTACTCCCAACCCTAGGGAGTTGCAGAGGGCTACAGTCCTGACCTTTTGCACTCCCCCCGCCCCCCTCACTCCAGCTGTCTCAAGCTGCTTTGCTGGAGAGGTGCTAATCACACCACAGGGGGCGTTTCCTCCCATTCTGCAGTCCTGCACAGCCCTTTCATGTAAGCTAGAAGGACTGAGGAGTCTGCAAGGGGGGAGGGAGGGGTGGAGGGATAAGGCAGAGGGACAGCAGGCAAAGGGGGGTGGGGAAGGCATGGGCACTCTGTGACAACTCCATACAGATGGTTAACGTAATATGTGTCCAGATAATAATAATGTAGGTAACAAGCACTCCACATTGTAATTAATCCTAAGGGGCCTTCTAGGATCCTAAAGGTGAAGATAAAGCAATACAACGCTTACTCTACTTAAAATAAAATGGACTGTCACTTATAAGATTGACACAGAGCAAACTGTCCTTTAACATAAAGATCCTGGATCTACAGCTCACCTTGACTTGTCGGCTATAAAAACCTTCTAATTCAATGCTGTCCCATAGTAAGGGCCCCTTTTTGCCCTTTGAGCTGCCAAGACAATATAATGTAAGTCGCTGTAATAGAGCAATATAGACAATATAATGTAAGTCGCTGTAATAGAAAAATATACACAATTACCCAGATACTACCATCAAACCAATACACCATAATAGATCCACAACATAAAATACATTAATATTAATCACCATAAGGAATCACCTATAAATAGTATGAAAGATCCAGCCCTGCAATTTGTGTCATTCCACAGAGAGCAATGCCACAGCCTATGCTGTCTCAAGCATATAGTATATATAGTGGTGCCAATTATTAAAAGAAAAACCCTGTTATCCTCGGCATCTGACATCATCACAGTTGTCATTGCACATGCTTGACAGTGCCAAATGACAGTACACATGCGTTGATTCCTGCGCGCAAGCAAACCGGTACCATAATATAATAGCCACAATACAGATAGGTGTACATCTGGCGGTTGATAAACAAAAGCACTCACAATACAATTATAACCATAGCACAAAGCACATTTAAAAGGGCAGCCTCACAGTGAGTTTTCAAAAATTATCATTGGACAGAAACTATAGGCTTGCAGAGATAAGGAAAGAAAAACTGTCAACACCGTACAGGAGTATCACTGAAGGAATAGAACGGCCTCTAAAGGAATTTGTTCACCAAAAATTAAAAGGCATATAAAGCCAGCCAGTGTTAAATTGATGCTACAGATGTATTTACATTAATGTGTTTATATACCACAAAAAATATATAAATTTTTCAGGGAATCTTGCCTAGTATTGCAACATGACATAATGTCAGACCCCATAATCCAACAAATGCATAACTGACTTTAGAGGAAAGTTTTATATGTGAGTACCTCATTTAAACCTCGATAGACTGTATCATTGAGTCTTTTGATCCAAAGTGTTTCTTTCTGTAATATTCATTTGTCCCAATTACCACCTCTTGGATCCTCCTGTACTATTTCTAGGATGATAAACTTGGCCAGAGATGCATTACATTTATGGTACAGAGCAAAGTGTCTGCTTACTGGTTTGACCATTTTGCCATTACTTGAATAGAATGTGTGGTGATTTATTCTTAGTCTTAGTTGATGTATTGTCTTGCCTATGTAGTAGGTTCTGCATACAATACACATTGCATCAGATAAATGATACCCTGGGTGCCTCAGCATGAAATTCAGGGGAATGATATTCCCCACTGGGCAGCTGAAAATGGGTAGCGATTTGAACCCAAGGGCATTGAGGACAATGTCCACACTGGTAAGTGCCCCAGCGTTCATCTCAGTCATTAGGAAAATAACAAAATGACTCACCATGACTTTGTTCTGTAGGGAACTGGTCCTGCAAAAAAACTAGATCTGAGGTGTCTGTCACATATTTGGCTAGAATTTTGTCCTCTGAGAGAAAATGCCAGTGTTGATTAAGGTCTGATCTTTCAGTAAATGTAATGAGACATACTGTGACAAATATGTACATTTAATACAATGTATGCTGTACACTAATACACTATATTTTGCATCTATATGTAGTGCTTTTAAGTGACTCAACAACTAAAGAGACTCCTGAAGAAGTGGTTCCCTGCAAAGCATGTCAAGCTATTAATCGAAAGACAAATATGTTATTGAAAGCCCGAAGGCTCAAAAACTTGAACTAATAAATACTATGTCCTAATAAGGGTGCTTCTTCTTCAGAATTATTTTCACTGAGTTCAGTGTTTTAATCATGTATCAATAAAGTTGGTTTGTAATTTTCTGTATACTTGTTTCTCTCTGCCTGTAAAGTCCATGATCTTTGCTAATGTTACTATTGTTCCTGTTCTGAAAAAGGCATAAAAAGAAAGCATAGACCTGAACTGGCAACTTCCAAAAGTAATACAGGATCTTAGGAAGGATGGTCATCTTAACCGCATGAATACGGCCAATCCATGGCAGGGTGGGGAAGCACCAAGATTCCATGAGAGAAGTAATAGATCGTAAGTGGGGGTAGTAATTAGTAGTTAAAAAGGAAGAGTAGGAAGGGGTCAATCTAACCCCCAGTAGATGAATTTGCACAGTGGTAAGGAAAGGTTGATTGAAGGTGTGAGACCATTCAAGGCAGTCTTCTTGTGGCGATTGATCTGAAGACCAGAGATAGCAGCAAAGTGGGTCAGGAGGTTTTTTAGGGTGGACAAAACTTGATAACTTTTATTTTCATCAACATAGTACCTGTATTTGCCCACTGCCACAGGGGAACAACCAAACACTAATTATGTACTTTATTAAATAGGTTGAAAAAAGACACAAGTGCAACTTGCTCAACCGATAGAAACCCTCCATATACACAGTCCTTTACTCAGAGTTTATCAAGAGGAAAGCCCCCCCCCCCCGCATGGTCTATTTTGCACCAGTGGAGGAACATTTTCTCTAAATCCCCCAGAAGGCAATCAAAATAAACAGCTAGAATAAGCTGTTTATGTTTTTTTTTTTATTTAATATGTTTTTATTGTGTTTCATAAAATAAGTACAGAAGTACAAAAATGCTCAAGTTTGTTATTTTGTACATGCAACATATGTGTGAGAAGATAAAATAGCCAATAACAATGTACAGTGAAACCTAATAACATATGGGCTGTGGAACATGGTAACAATAAGCATGGTGCTTGCAGTGCATGAAGTAACATAGATCACATATGCAATATATTCAATAAGCTTTAACCAGTAAATGAACTGCTAAGAGAGGGTAGAGACGGTAAAAGTAGAAAGAGTAGGGAGGTATAGGGTTGAAAATGGGAGGGAGTGGGAGGAGCTGACCAGGAGTGTTGGCACTTGTTACATATTACCTTGAAGTCTATTGGTGAGTTTCTTATTAATTATAGTTCAGTACATTAGAGTTTTGACTTCAGAGGCAGATAAATGCCGCAAGAGCAGTTCAGCGGCATTGATTGGTGGAAAAGAGTTTGGACCATGTCATATAATTGTTGCCAAATGGGGTTGCACCACTGGGCAGGACCATCAGGTATTCATGAAAGTGTCAAGGTCCTACCTTTTCCCTGAGGTTATGTTACTCCATGTGCTGGCATCCATCTTGGATTTCTGCTGTGCATGGTGGGAATCCTTTTATGCCTTCAGGTCTCTGAGGTCCATCCCCCAGAGGGGTGTGGCTGATGACATATAAGCCTGTGCTTCGCACATGCTCTTTGCACTTGTGTCTTGTGTCTTTGTGTTGCTATTACTCTGTTCTGACTCTCGTGACTCTCCTGGTATCTGATTCGGCTTGTGACTCG